TAAAAGTAAAATTAAAAAAATAAAAAAGTATTAATAAATTAAATGAATATAAAAATAAAATAAAAGAGCTACTAAAAAAACAGTGCCAAAAGACAAAGCATGAAAATTCCAAAATTCAAAACTTTCACAAATTATTCACAAATTCCTTTCTTTTTTTGAAATCTTTCTTTGCAAATCTCTAATTTTACACAAATTATTTACAAATTCCTTCCAATTTTGTGTGAATTTAAAATCTAATTAAAAAATAGTACATACACACAAAAATGTAACACTAAATATCTACATTATAACCAACTATTTAATTATAAATTATTAATTTCTCATTATTACCTATATTATGTTGTTGTAAAAAAATTTACATATTATTTTGTGATATCTTATGTATGTCAGTGTCTTTATAATATTTTAATTTTCTAAATATTTTTAATATTTTAATTTTCTAAATAATTTTAAAATATTTTTAATATTTTTAATGTTTATACAGGTCTAAAAAATGAATTGACAGAAAAATTAATTGACATAGAAGCTATTTGAAAAAAAAAATTATTCAAAAAAATTAGTACTTAAAAACAATTAATTGAAAAAAAAAATTATTTTTAAAAATAATTTGGTTATGGCTGTTGATCAAAAATACGGATATTGAGTTATGAGTTGTGTGTTTGATTATCAATTATAAGTTGAATTAAGCTTTGAAAATTATTTTGAAAACTTATTACCAAATAAATCTTCTTATTTCACATGTCACATCAAACTTTCAAAACTCAATTCCACAAATAGTTCAACACTCTATTAAAAAATCACAACCAAACAAATTTTCTATACTTAAATCATAATTCCCCAACTCACAAACTCAAAATACAACTCATACTCTCAAATTATATTTACAAAACTCTACCAAACGCAACCTAAATTACTCTAGTTAATAGTTTTTAAAAATAGTATTTGATTTTTTTTTTGAATTCTCTTAATTTAAATACATTTAAAAATTAAAATATTTATGAAAAATCTTTAAAAAAATCACCCAATATAAAAAAATGCAAAAATTCAATATATTTTCAATTTCTTTGTGTCTTCATTGATTTTTTTAATAGATTTTTTGATAATTTTTTTTAGGTACATCTAACTTATGTGTATTTAAAAAATAAAAATAAAA